AGGTTGATATATTATTTGCATTTTATACATAATGAAACTGAGATAGAGAGGGGTTAAATAACTTGTCTGGGCTACACGATTGGTAAGTAGTAACACTATAAATGGAGCCAATATGTGCATGACTCCAAGTCTGGGTTTATCCATCACCATTCTAGTGTCCTGCCAATAGATTATACTCTCAGATCTCCTACATTCCACGGGTTCGCTATGTACATAATCTATATAACTCATTGGTATTCTTGGAAAATAAATGGTACACTAAATAAAAACAGATATTTCAAGACATTTTTCTTGATCATCTTGTTCCTCCCATTAAATTATATGCACTAAGGAACAGACTTCTTAGAACCCAGAGCACATTTCCCACCAGATGAGTCAAGATTTGCAGCTATAACTATAGTACTTGACAGCACTGCTTAATAAAAAGATTTAAATCCACCTACTACTTTATACTCAATAACAGACTACACTGTCCGTAAAGGCAAAACAGTGTGAGAAAAATGTTAATGTAACTGTTCCCTAGTGGGTATTGATTAAATGTGAGCATTATGAGCTCATTATGTTGGTTAATTTAGATTGAGATTATTAACACAAGTTAAGTTCAATTTAGCACCACTGACAAAAATCCAAGAACATCAATGGAAGGAATAAATGACACATGTGAGTCATAATAAAATTTTAAGCCTTGATATATCTTCAAGATATTTATTTTCATTTACTTATTCTAATACCATCTGGAGTCAGAAAGGTCTGACTCTGTGTGTGGGACTTTGGGCAAGTTACATAATACTTTTATGGTGTCTCAGTTTCCTCAAGTTTAGAAAGAGGATAATAATAGAGCCTAACTCACAGGGTTTATTATGAAGATTAAAAAAGATAATGCACATGAAATATTTGGTAATCACTGATGGGAAGAGCCACTAGAGAAGGGATCGGCTACCCACTCCAGTATTCTTGGGTTTCCCCTGTGGCTCAGCTGGTGAAGAATCTGCCTGCAATGCAGGAGACCTGGGTTCGATCCCTGGGTTGGGAAGATCCCCTGGAGAAGGGAAAGGCTATCCACTCCAGTATCCTGGCCTGGAGAATTCCATGGACTGTATAGTCCATGGGGTCACAAAGAGTCAGACATGACTGAGTGATTTTCACTCACAAGCAATAGCGAGTGCTTGTCTTAGTTTGCTTCGACTCTCATAACATAATACCACTGACTGGGTGCTGTAATAGAAATTTATTTTCTCACAGTCTGGAAGGTTAGAAGTCTAAAATCAATGTGATGTCAAGGTTGGTTTCTGGTGGAACCTTTTTTCTTGGCTTGCAGGTGCCAGCCTTCTGGCTGAGTTCTCATGTGGCCTTTCCTCTGTGTGTGAGGACAGAAGATAGTACTCTGGTATTTCTTAAAATAATGCTAGTTCTTATAAGGATGCCAGATTTATTGGACTAAGACCCCACCCTATGGCTTTATTTAACCTTAATAGCTTCCTTATGAATGCCAAAGAACTGATGCTTTCAAACTCTGGTGCTGGAAAAGACTCCTGAAAGTCCCTTGGACAGCAAAGAGATCAAACCAGACAATCTTAACAGAAATCAACCTTGAATATTCCTTGGAAGAAGTGATGCTGAAATTGAAGTTCCAATACTTTGGTCACCGGATGCGAAGAACTGACTCATTGGAGAAGACCCTGATGCTGGGAAAGATTGAAGGCAGGAGGAGAAGGGGACGACAGAGGATGAGATGGTTGGATGGCATCACCGACTCATTGGACATAAGTTTGAGCAAGCTCCAGGAATTGGTGATGGACAGGAAAGCCTAGCGTGCTGCAGTCCATGGGGTCACAAAGAGTTGGACATGATTGAGTGACTGAACTGAACTGATGCAGCCAACAGCTGACTCAATGGAAAAGTCCCTCATGCTGGGAAAGATTGAGGGCAGAAAGAGGAGAGGGCATCAGAAGATGAGATGGCTGAATGGCATTACCTGTGCAGTGGACATGAACTTGGGCAAACTTCAGGAAATGATGGAGAGGGAGGCCTGGCATGCTGCAGTCCATGGGGTCGCAAAGAGTCAGACACGAATGGGCAACTGAACAACAACCTCCTTATGAAACAGTGAAAGTGTTAATGACTCAGTCATGCCCTACTCTTTGTGAACCCCATGGACTGTAGCCCTCCAGTCCTCTCTGTCCACGGAACTCTCCAGGCAAGAATACGTGAATAGGATGTCACTTCCTTCTCCAGAGGATCTTCCCCACCCGGGGATCAAACCCAGATCTCCTGCATTGCTGGCAGATTCTTTACCATCTCAGCCACCAGGGAAGCCCTAGGCTCTATCTTCAAATACAGACACATTGGTAGTTGGAGCTTCAACTTACATATTTCAAGGGAATACAATTCAGTTTACAGCAGTGCTCAAAAATAGTACAATTGTTATTTTTTTCTATTACTTCATTTTTATTATATATCCATTCATACAAAGCTTTATTTCATAGGGATGTGAGACAGTGTGAATGTTTTCAAAGTGAAACTCAACTTCAGTTCCTTGAGGGAATCTCCAGAGCAAAAGTTGTTTAGGAACTGATCAGAGTTACTGATAGAGTGAGATATTAATCCGATCTCTGAGACATGTAGTGGTGGTGATAGGTGTGCCTGTGTGTGATGCTGTCTATAGAGCACAACATAAAGTCTTGGAAACAGTTCACAGGACTGAGATTTTAGGATAGCTTGCATGATTAATGCTGCAAAACTAATGTTTCTTTCCTTTCACCATTTTTTCTCAAGTTAAAATTGAGCCAGGTCTGTGAGCTCCCATGTTGACTAAATTGGAGATCTAGAGTTGATGCTCAAATGCTCAACTAAATGCCTTTTTTTTTTTTCCATTTTGTAAATTGTCATCTTCTTTCTGCCTTATCCTAATCAAAGTATCTCAGAGGTGGTAGGACTCCATGTCTTCAAGAATCAGCATATATTCTAAAGTTCAATGCCTGAATTATTTATTTGGATTTTGGCATTTGGGGGTCATTTTACTGACCACCAAAGATTGACAACACAGAGCAAATGTTAGCAAGATGACGAGTGTTGGCTTCTTAGTCAAAGCAATTTTGAAAGGAAGTGCTAATCTTAAAAAGAGTTCTTTCCAAAGCTTAGAAGTGACAAGCTGCCTGGGGTAGGTGGTAGTTTGCTGGTCAAAGTCACCTGCATTTCCATGCAGAACAATTTTGAAAGAGCTTTTACTCTCTTCTTTTGGCAGGACATTTGTCATCATAATGAAGAGCTGGTATTTACCAGATCCTTTTAAATAAATAATCTGAAAGCAACAGGAGGAAATCTGTAATAATTTACAATCAGCCCTTAATTTAGAGCTGTTTAGATTTTTCACAGTATGCCTGAAATGAACAAAGTTTATACCAAGTTCAAGACTTCCACAATCAAACCTGTTCTCCTGAAGGTGACAGCTTGCTCCTGACACTGAACCCAAGGCCTGGGGTTCATGCCATGTCCTTAGAGCAGTATCTGCATGTTAGGTCTGCAGCTTTCTAGAGGGCTTTATGGGGGAAGGACCACTCTGGGAAAAGGACTGTTCTCCCCAGAGCTAACATTTTTGTTACATCAGCTTCAAGACATGTGAATCTAGATCTGTGCTTGGGGGATGGAAAAAAGAAGAGTAGAAAATCTGATCCTTAATCCACATAGCATGTAAATGAGGTAAGATGACATGACCACTGTACCCTCAAGATCCTATAATGGAGTACTATACAATGTGGATGCAGAACTCAATTCAGGAGTTCTATTTCCCAGAAAAGGGAAAGACTACTGTGGACTGACACAGAAAAAGTGAGACTTCAGCTAAGTCTTTTCACTGTTTCATAAATAGTTATTGAATATTTTCTACATGTCACTCACTGAGTGAGGGGAGGATGGTGATAAAGAATAAATGGTCCCTTGTACAAAAGTGTTATGTTCAAAGGGGGAGAGAAGCAGAAAATATCTGAAAAAGAATTTCAGGTTATAAAAGGGGCAATGAGAAAAATAAACAAGGTATTTACAAGGGATACCTTATAAACAAGGAATAAAAAAGTAAGCTTTAAACAGTGTGGTCAGGGAGGGTCTCCCGAGGTGACATTTTAGCTGCTATTGGACGATAGGAAATATTCAGCCATAAGAACATCCAGCAGGGAAGCACCACTGGATTGGGAACCACCAATGTGAAGGGTGAAAGTGGTGAAGCTGGGTTTGACCGAGCCTGGCTGAGAGCTGTGGGAGCAGACCCAGAGTTACTGATGCTGGGCGTTGGGAAAGGTGGTGATTTTAAACAGGAAAATTGGTTAACTTAGAAATGCACTTCATCCTTCCACCTTGGCCCTTTTCTGATATACCTTCCCTGCAGAGGTATGTTAAGTAACATGCTCAGAGCTCCTTGAAGCAAAGCAAATACAGTGAAACCAAAAGCTGATCATGCCCATCAGCCAATCATTCACAGAGCACCTTCAGATCTGAGAGTTAAGGTCTCTATTTCTTTGTTCCTTTTAAAGAGCTTTCATCTTTTCCATCTCTGTAAGAAGAGGGGACAATTTACTATTATGATATTTGCTTAACATTAAAATGTGAACCGTGCCTTCCTCGAGACAGTTAGTACTGTGTGTGCGTGCGCACGTGTATAATGGCCTTGCATCTCTGAAGTCTGACTTGGGGTGGGCCCCAGCTTCCTTTCCTTGCCTCCTGCCATTCACTCATGTGTCAGCTGAGATCTGCCAGAACCCCTCGCTAATGGTTCCCAGGGCTGTGCTTAGGGCCTTGGAGCCGGGGAGCCTTTTTCATGGGGGCTCATCGCTAGAAGTCCCTTCTCTTATAGCTCTGAGAAAGTATGGCTTTAGTGTTTCTGGTTCCCATTCTTTGGAAACCATTGTGAAGGGCTTTCATCATAGTACTCAGTACTGGCCCACCCAACTTGGCATTGCATTCTCCCTAAATCAAGTGTATGTGTGGTGGTGTATTATTTCAAATAGGTCATTAACCAAAAGACTCTGTAGTTCCCCTTATAGTGCTATCTTGGGCAGAATATCACCTTGGTCTGTGTTTATTTGTAAACAGCCTCAGGCCCTGAAGTAAAAGAAAGCTTTTTATCCATTAGATGTGCAGGATTAGACCCACATATCCTCCTAATTTACCCTGGAAAGAGGTCTTGGTATATTTTTCTGCACAGACCACAATCTCTGTTCTTGAACAAATTGCTTCCAAGACTGTCTTCCTACAGATCAGTGCGTATTTCTGAAAAGATTCCATCATTGTTTTCCTAATGAAAGAGGAGCAAGAAAAAAAAAAAAAGATGCCAAATCTTTATAAAAGGTAACTCTTTGATGATAAAATCTTTAGAAAAAAATTCCTAAAGATGAGAACAGGTGAATCAATTGGTCTCTAATTCATACAAGGTGGTGTGGGGTGGAGAGGAGATATGCTAATGTTATTAGGATACTAGATAGAAATGCAAACTTTCTTATTAATATTCAAAGGGATAAATATAAGTACCAAATTCCAATTGTGGGTAACATAAAATTATAACAAAATTGTACATAGCCAGTATTTTCTGAGAGGGGATATTTCTTATCTCTATGGTTAGAAACAAAATAAAAATTTTTGATGAAAATAAAAGTGACCATATTAGGACTGTATTGTTAAGGATGCAGTAAATCTGCAGATATTTACTTCTCCCAGTGCCTTTTTAAATTCTGAATTTGAGACTCACAATATTAAATTTGACTCTACACACATCCTTCCTATGAAAAGCTTCACATATTTTGTGGGTATTACCCACTGTGGTATTATCCTGGTGGCTCAGATGGTAAAGAATCTGCCTGCAACACAAGAGATCCAAGTTCAATCCCTGGGTCGGGAAGATTCCCTCCTGGTCAGGAGAAGGGAATGGCTACCTACTCCAGTATTCTTGCCTGGAGAATTCCATAGGCAGAGGAGCTTGGTGGGCTACAGTAGGACATGACTAAGTGATTTTCTCTGTTTTTCACCCATATTGGGAGTGAAGAATAGAGAGGGAATTCTGTTTAACTTTTCAGGTGGGGTGTTTATAACTCACCTCAGCAATCATCTGGGTTAGGAACAGAATTGGACATAGGAATGTCCAGTCCAGTGTATCAGTCATTGGTCAGAGAAGAGCTGAGCCGTAAATCAGTGCAGCAGGTTCCATGAGGAAGATGGACAGGAAAGGTGACCAGCCTGTAAGTGACTGTGCTGACCCACTCAGATCCGTGTGGTCAATTACGGCTTCCTGCTGGGCACCTGAGGCTGAGGCAGTTGCATCTAATCGCACCCAGCATTAGTGGCGAGTACATGCTCTACTCATCACTGGGAGATTACCGGATTACCTGGGATTAAAAAAAGGGAAGGTTGTTGGATCAGTTGACACCAAGTCCAATTTAGGCTTTAAAACTATAACAACTTCTTGGCTTTTAAACAAGCCTATCCTCAACCTTTCTTTTTCAAGGCTAAAAAGCCACCTTGCAAGGGCTTCTCGGAATTGGAAGGCAATGAATTTACAAGTGTTCCTGTGTCCATAATGGGTAGCTATCCAAATTTTAGTTTCCTTGTCTAAAAATCAGGATAATAACATCTACCTCTTAAGGTTGTTGAAGGATTAAACCAGACAAACTAAGTAAAACTCACAGTACTGCCTAGAATATAATGAATCCTCAATAAAAATGAACAATGATCATATACCAGTAATCTTTGGTGTTTTTAGTACATTATTTCCCTTTTCTGAAAATATAAGCATTTTCTAAGAATTATAACTTGGTCTCATTTGTTTCAGACTTGCTACAAACAGATAAATTTACTCATCATCGATCCATCCACTCACCCATGCAGAGAGCAAATATTTTTTGAGTCCCCGTTATGTTTACTCATGTCAGGCAAAGAAGAGAGACAAGGTACCTGCTCCGATTGAATGTAAACTCTTGAGGAAGAGATAGACGAAGCAACAACTAAAGATTATACTATTTAAAATACCAGGTAGTAATAAATAATAGGAGGGAAATGGTGAGAGGATGGAGAATGAGGAGCAGAGATGGGAGCTGTCTTTGACACAGAGTCAGTGAAAGCCTCTGTGGAGGTGACACTTAAGTGAAGGCAGGAATAAACAGAGAGAACGAGGCATTTGATGATCTGGGAAAACACTATTCACGACCAAAGGTATGGAAGAGCAAAGGGGTAGGAAGGAGACTGGCATTTTCAAGGCAAAACAAGACAGCCTCAGGGTCTTAGTTCACTTCTGTTCTAGCAGCCTGCAGGCTGGTCTCCCCGTTTCGGCTCCTACTACAGCCAGCTCCCCACTCAGCAACCAGGGTGCTTTCTTAAAGAATCATGTTATTTCCCAGATCACAACTTTGCAGTTTTCAGTTTTCTGAGTGGTTTCCCATCTCACTCAGGAAAAAATCCAAACCCCTTATGTGGCTTTCAAGGGTCACCCAAGACCAGCTGGCCGCGCCAATCTCCTCCAGCACGATGCTCCTCCTGCTTCCTCCTCTCCAGGAGTGGGGAGGTCAGCATGGCAAGACACGGCTTCAGTTCAGTTCAGTTCAGTTGCTCAGTCGGGTCCAACTCTTTGCGACCCCATGAACCACAGCACACCAGGTCTCCCCGTCCATCACCAACTCCCAGAGTCCACCCAAACCCATGTCCATTGAGTCGGTGATGCCATCCAACCATCTCATCCTCTGTTGTCCCCTTCTCCTCCTGCCCTCAATCTTTCCCAGCATCAGCGTCTTTTCAAACGCGTCAGCTCTTTGCAGCAGGTGGCCAAAGACACGGCTTAGGAGCCCTTGCAGTCGAGGTGAGAACTGAAGGCCAGAGTGGCAGTGCTTGGGTGTTAGATTGCAGGTATGTTTGAGACGAACACTGACGGGACGTGCTGAAGGGTTATCTGTGGCTTCTGGCTTTGTATCTCCTTGGTTTCTCCAAGTTGCCAAGTATTGTTAACGGCTGCTACTTGCTTGGACTTCCTGTCCCTGGGGGCCTTATTCCTCCTTTCCCTGGAGGCATTATTTTTCTGTAGCAAACTAAAAGGCAACACATGGAAAACTTGCTTTTTTAAATGGTCAAATTTTCCCCCAGGAAATTTCATCTCTGCATGACCCCAGAATTGAAGCCATTCTCCAGAATTACAGGAAAATCTTAGCAATGTGGGTGGACATTCTATGGGTAGATAATTCAGGACCCTTAAGAAGGGATGTAAAGGGAAAAGAGATGGAAATCAAGTGATACTTTCAGCATTATTTATGTATGACTGTTCTGATACAGTTTTCACTGAAACAGATATTGACAGAACTGGCTAAAATACTGTATTGAATATTTGTGAGCCTATTTTTTTTTTTTACTATGAAACTTACTTTACAAGGTTGAAAATATTAAACGTATTTTGCAAAAAACAATATTCTGGGCTTGGCATGGCAATGGCCTTCAGAACCATGTGTAATCTGGCTCCTATTACCTCTTTCAACCTATTCTAATAGTCTTCTCACTGCCATTTCTAAAAGATACCTCCTTAAAAATTTTGCACTATTATTTTTGCCTGGACATCAGTTCTCCCAGGTGCCAAAATGCTAACTCACTCACATGGTTCTAATCTTGCTCAAATGTCACCCCCTCAATGAGCTGAACCTTGACCATTCTATTTAAACTGCACTCAGCTCACCAACCTCAACCCATTCCCTTGCTCCTGATTCCCCTCTTATCCAGTCCTATGCATTCTACAGCATGTATTCTACTATATAATTTACTTTTGCATTTAGTTTATTGTTTGTCTGGATGAAGTTCCAAGAGGGCAAAGATTTTCAACCTATTTTGCTCACTGAATAGATCAAGTACTTATAATAGGGCCAGGTACATACAGAGGTTTTCAGTGAATGTTTGTTGAGTAGATGAAAGAATGACTGAATTTTTAATTTTGTATTAACATGGTGAGGTAGAGAGTGGAATGAAAGAAATCGCAGGATGAGGACATAAGCCATATATGCCTACCATAAATTCAGATATACCTTCCCACAAGTAGCATTTCTAACATCCAAAAAAAAAAAAAAAAAAAGCCTTATGAGGAGGAGACATGACTGGACAGAGCTACCCAGCCAATCCTTAGCCTTCTGGCCTTAAATCCCTAGGGACAAAGGATCACCCTCAAGGCCTCCTCCAGAGTACTCCATGAGTAAATAATTCATCCTGAGGAGAAATTTCTAAAATAAGGGCTTCGAAAGAAGTTGGCACCCTCATTGTATCTGATCCCTCCCCTTTGGACCAGGGCCAGGGTTTTCAGGAGATGGGGCTGGAAAAATAGTGGGGCTAATAAAAGCCAAGTCACAGGGCAGCACTGTTTTGTGACCCAGTAGCAGAATGAGATGGCTGTTGGGGGAAGGACATTTCCCTATACACCCACTTCAGTGTGGAAACTATTGGCATGTCAAGGGAAAATGGCCCATTAGGACAGGAGTAGAGAAGTTGCTCCAAGAATTTCATGCATGTCTACTGATAGCTGGGTCTTAACTGCAGGGGGTTTGTACAAACTGCACAGTGATTTCCCCTGGGACCAGAGACCAGAGACCACAGTGTGGGGTCAGGAGGATTGCTAGGAGTGGAGGGATTTAGAAGAAAGTATTCTTCAGCCACATAACTAGGGTTGGGGGAAGGCTTAATAACTGCTAGATAATTTCTGTTGCTGGGGTTTTACAATACCAAGACTGGTGTGCTTGAGGAAATTCCCATTTGGTATGCTTATTGCTCGTGGTCACCATCAGATTGGGGCAATTTCAAGTCAAGGAAGGTCTTTCTAGGCTCTATACCACACAGCCTAGTTTGGTATTAATATGCAGCAGTGGAGGAAAAGAGCTCCTGCACTTAGGCATATGCTTAATATTTCTGGTTATTCTGTTAGAAAATAATCCAAAATCCCCATGGACCTGGGAGTTTTGGGATGAGTCAGGGACAGGACCCAGAATCCTGTCAGTCCTAGAAGGTTTCCTGATCAGTGTCATAAGCTCTCGGTTCCGGGTGGGGTGGTGAAGACCTTTCTACTGGACTGTGGAAATCACATTTGCAAAATGAAGTTAGTAGCACCAGAGTGAAGAAATAAGAATTAAGAAGCCCATTTCTGCGCCATACACATATAAACCGACAGACAGCACAAGAAATTGCTGAGTTTCCTTGGAGGCATCATGGTCCCAAAGTTGTACAGCTTCATGAAGAATGATGTCAGGAAAGAAAGATGTAATACTGCAGAAGGCTCCTGTTGAAAGTCACAGGAAGCAAGTTCTTTACATTTAGGAAGTACTGGCCATTTGATGGATATAAACTTTTTGAGGTTCCACAATCTCCTATTTCTTACTGTCCCTGGGTGCCCTAAGTTGTGTTGGAACAACACAAGGTATAAATGAGCACATGAGTAAAAATACACATTTCCTTTTTGTTTCCCCTCCAGGCAGCAGCAGGCATGCCTGACTTACTGCCAAGTGGTACCGAGGGAAAGAGACACGCATGAGTGGGGTTTCCTTTCAGAGTTTGGTAAGGTAGACCCGTGGCAGTAGCTCCCAGGTTTGGCAAATCTGGATTACTTTAACAAGAGCTTTGAAAATTATAATTGCTGTGTTCTACCCTAGACTTGCCTGGAGGGAGAGGAACAGGCATCTGTATTCTCATTAGCTCTTCAAGGGACTCTTGGGAATCCAAGGGCCTAGTGTCTAGAGGTACCATGGAAGGGAAAGCTGGTTTAAGGAATCTCTCTGAGATGAGAGAGACAGCTCTGTGGGATGTGGTGTATGTGTTTGGAGAAAAGAGATGGAGAGTGATCAAAATAGGAGAGAGACAGAGGGAAGCAGACAGAAGGAGAGGGAGACTGGGGGCCAGAGATGACAGAGGGAGATAAAGAGATAGGGAAACAGGCAGAAGAGACAGGGAGAGGAAGGGAGACACGGAGAGTCTGACAGAGAGACAGGGACAGGAGAGTGGGTGGAGGAGGGGATCTGAGACCCAGACCCAGGCAGGCACCCAGGACAGACCCTGACACAGAGCAAAAGCAGGCAGCTATGTCCTGAGATGAATAAAAGGAGGACAAAATGTCACCGCCGTTCTCAGAGAACAGTCACCATTTCAGAAATCCTTTGATTCTGGACCTTATTCTAGAAAGAAGGAAGGAAAGCACACTTACTGAATGCCTCCTATGCATTTGACCTTGTGCTAAGTATATGAGTTCATTCATGTGTTCACGCACAACCACGAAGGGCATCCCACACGCCAAGCACTGTGTAAGGCAGTGGGATTACAAAGACAGAAAAGACTACCTAGAGAAATATGTGCTATAATTGAGGGGAGCATACTTTAGGAG